TTATGCGTACAGCTGGCCGTGTGGCGTGCTGCGTGTAAGTTGCTTGCTCGTCGCCTACTATTGTGGTTAAGACATACGGAACATCAAGTCATCATAACCTCCAACTTCAAACCCGTGCACATTTCTGCAGCAAAAGTATCAGGCTTCCACCTCGCGCATGAAAAGAATACACTGCGCAAGTGAGTGTGCAGTATGTGTCAGAGATATTGCAAGGTTATCAGAGGTCCTCCACATTGTCGCGGCGCGCTGCTCACTTTGAGCTCGTCAGAGGCGAAAAGTGAATTGAAAGCATCTGCCACGTGATAACTGTCGTAACTTTTCGCGTATCATCGCGGAGATTGAAATCTTACCTGCTCAGCAGCCTTTTAGCGTCTGCTATGAGGCGGGGTCATGAAATCCAGCATGAAAAGAGTGCGCTCTGGATCGTTATGGACAGTCTCCCACTTGAGCAGCCTCATATTCTTGTCACCTTTGCAGTCGATCATTGTAGGGATTTACGATTAACTAGGCGTAAGCCTTTACAAAGTTACGGAACAATTCTAACTACTTTTAGGTGGGTTCCTGTGATGTGATCGACAAAGCTATTAAGCGATATCAGAATCTTTCATTCCCTCTTTATGATCCTGTGAGTTTCTCCGATTTCTGCAACATTTCTTTGAAGGCTAAGGTTCTCTATATTTTTTTGCTTATGTGCTTTATCTCTCTATTCGTTTTAACACGCCCACGATTCAAACACTGCGGCCAGACTTGCGCACCTGAATCCGCCTTTTTGGCATTTCGCCTTACTGTGAACCATTGTCTTATGCATTGTACCACCGTTTTTTTGGCGCCCGCACAGGGTTACAAAAGAAAAAAAGATATAGCTCAAGGTATCGTTTTCAATGTTTGTTCTGCTTTTTGACACAGTTCGTAGCCTACTACCATCGGTCTTTTCGAAATCTGGTCTAGATTTATGTCTGAATTTGCCTCTGTGAGCAGGTTTAGTCGCAAATTTCTTTATTTTCGCTATCTGTGACTTTCGGAC